AACACTACATGTACTGCTTAATTCTGCATGGTTGGGGAAGGTTATGGTTAAATTTACACTATGTAAGTTTGTAGGGTTTTCATAACAGGTGCCAAGCCCACAACACTAATTGACGAACAGGTGTCGGCCAAATCTTTAAGAAAATAATTTTGTTCTCAGTCATGTCAGTGTGTTTTATACAAAGAGTTGAAAAAAACACCAAGAAAAGACACTCTCCACTTCCATTGGTTTATGACTCACCACTGGACATTCCCAAACACCTGATAGACGTTGACAGGTCAGCCAATGGCCTATACAGCTTTGCTGAGGGCAATCTCCTAGACGTACACCGAGCATGTGGAGAATAATGACTTGATGAGCAGCAGACACTGAAATGCCGTGTTGCATAATTCTAGGCATCAAAAATTGACCAAATTAATTGGAAATAAAGAATGAATTCAATTAAGTCAACCAAGCAAGCACTAGCAGACTAGGCCAACTCAATATCAGTATCAATATATATGGCCCCACTATTATTTTTTTCAATCATCAAGCAATTACTGAGTTCAAAACCAATAACGCAGTGAGAACAGGGGGCGACTTGTTCAACTTCATGAGTGTCATGTGTCACACAAGAGACACTCGCGTAAGACGTGCTTGTGTATACATACAGTACGAGGGGCGACTTCGTCATTTATCAAGATTAATTCCCCGGTAAATTGTACTTTGGTACAGTAAATGGACTGATAAGATCGGAACGTGTAATCAAGAAAAAAAATGAAATATCAATGTCATTGTTGTCTCTTACTAAATTGCGGGTACATCGTTGTAAAGGAGACGAACGAATCCACAATTGCCTAATTAAGTTTGCCATCTCCAACATCAGCAACGACTGGGCTCTCCAGATTTTCATGGCGTCTCTAAATTCCATGCAATACAGGGTGATGATGTACGGTGTCCCACAACCATGAACAGTCACGCCCCCACTCCGCCCTCTAAGAACATAAACCAAGTACAAACCTTTGGAGCCTTGATAAACTGCTAGCCATGGTACACACGCTGGATGAATGCCAAAACTATGAAACTTTCAAAGCTATACTGCCAAATTGGAGGTCGTGGCGGCCGTTTCGACTTTCTTGGGAGAAGAGATATTATAAAGAGAAAAATCTTTGAAACAAATTGGACGAAGTAAAGAGTTGGCCTTTAGTTTTACGTATTTTCTGAAAGCTTTGTTTTTTTAGCATAATGAGAATTTCAAATTCAGCATGCAGTGAAAATTGATAAAATCTATCGGAGGTTGAATGGTGTTGAAAGCGCCTAGAAGCCCAAGCAGGGGCGGACCCAAGTTTAATGGAGTCATTTTTTCTCGTACTTCTTATGACTTTTTAGAAAGTGGGCAGGGCGAAATGGCTACTTTTTGAGGTTGAGGTACCCTCCTCCGCTTCTGCTACGGGTGATCAAATTCATGTAAATTACTCAATTAGCTCACAAAGGTATCGCGAAACAGAACCTTAATTGCCACATTGTTAATGTTCTCTAGTAGCCCCCCTACATTTGTTTATCGCCTTGTGCTCCATGTTTTCTATGCATCAAGCTGCAATGACTTTACCATTTTTTTCCACTGCACACATTATAGCATACACACGTGGCGGCTGGCTGCATGAAAATGATCGACCCCTGCGGGATCGCTTCTCCCATGCGTGACAAAGTTCGGTAGGCTAATAAACGTAAATCAAGGTCAAGGTGAATCCTTCAGCTCTGGATATTTCTTGCTATAATGTGCAGTTTCTTGTACGAATTTTAAACTTGAACTTTGAAGATCTACACATTTTCCTCTGAATTTGTTTGTCTTTGTCATGTTAGGCCTTTTACCCCCATGATTACACCTTGCCCAGGTTGGACGTTGTTTTCATTTCGTAACGTAGCACGGTCAGGGCTAGATTACACCGAGTACCTGCCTAGGCTACATGTATCTTTTCATTGAGCTACATTATTTACATGTATTTTTCACTGCAGTGTGCAATAATGTTAAGCAATAGCCTGTATCATTGAACGTTGTAACTAGACATGCTATAAGACATGGAAGAGAGAGTATCCCGGTGACTTTCAAATTGTTATGTTTGTAGCTAGGACAAGTAATAGTAATAGACCTTACTAGCACTATGTCATGTCTGCGATCATGTTCGGTTTTACTGACAGATTTTACGCAACTTAAACTTGACGTTTGGACAGTCTACCAGTCTTCTCATTTGTGATCAACGGGACTAGGTCTTCCTAGTCATTAGATTGTTGATGATTGAAAGATGGCTTCAGCAGCGGCAGCAGCATCTAAAGTCATCATTGATGGCAGCATCATGGAAGGAGTAAGTCGGAAAAAGAGCAATTTTGCAAGCTTGGGGAAGTTGAGGTTAACACTTGTACCCTCCCCTTTCTCTTTCCTATTTGATTCCATTTCATTTCTTTTAAAGAATTCTTGAAGGGATTACCCTCAAGAAGAATGACCATTTTCAGATTTTCAATATGTACAAGCCTGAATCTATGAATCTTAACCAATACCCCTGCCAAGCCTCCCTAAACAGTTAGCCAGTGTCACAGGGCATGCCTTAAAGATCTGTGGTTTTGATTTGTAAGTTGATTGTGTTTGTTTATGTTCAGGGTGGACAGATTTTACGCATTGCTTCAGCTTTGAGCTGCCTGACCTGTCAACCAATCACTGTGCAGAAGATCAGAGCTGGGCGGAGCAATCCAGGACTGAGGTGAGTGAGTCTCTTCATTCCCATTGGTCAAGTTCTTCCAGGTCGAGTGTGCTTTTAACTAATCACAGGAGATCTTAGCTAGGCCCAAACTCCTATTTTAGAATTGAGATGTTTGAAAGCAATTTCTTGTCACAAAGTTGGAAGGTTTGGGCACTTTCTGTCAAATTCCTGACAAAAGGGCCCAGCTAGGGTTGTGCATAGGTAATGTCTTTAGACTCATTCTCTGATGAGTTCTTCCAACTTATTTCAATGGAAGAATTTTTTATTTTATGCATCAGACCGCAGCATCTGAGTGGGCTTCAACTTGTTCGTGATATCTGCTGGGGTGAGCTGCCAGGAGGATCAGTTGGATCAACAGAGATCACTCTGATTCCCTCGGCCATCAAAGCAGGCAGATATGTTGCCGACACAAAAACTGCAGGGTGAGGTGATGTGAACATCCAGTCTCCTTTGTAATCCTTCTTCGCTTCAATCCATTCATACTGTCTTGACTTGTGGATGTTCTGAAGCTGAAGAATCCGTTCACCTTCCTAAAATATGTGGCTCTTACTCTCTCCTTTTCAACATTTTCCTGCTTGTAATTTATTTATCAAAATTGCCCCCAAATGTTCTAACATCTTCAAATGACTGTTTTAGGGTTCATGTGAATATTGGTTACGTTCTCATCTTGTCAGCATTTCCACCTTGATCTATCAAGTTCAGCCATATCCACCGTATAGGATACTATACTTTCCAGTTAACAGTGAATGAGAAGTTTTCTTTTGCTGAGGTCACAACTCCAAATGAATAGCAGACCTTTTGAGCTCAAGAAATACTTTGATTGAAATGTCCCACAAGGCACAGATTCACCATCTAGAATTTTAACCCCTAACTTCCTTGGCACTTTTACAAGGAACCTTGTTCTAGCCTTCCAAATTTCCACTGTCTAGCAAACCAATTGCATACTCTTGGTAGTTTGTAGAAGGGGCATTGTGTCCCATGGGAATTAGCCTCAGTTGAGCTCTGCCATCCTCAATCCTACAAAATTTTCCCAAACCTTTTGGATTTTGAAGGACCCAGGGGATGGTAACTGTCGCTGTGTATCTCAGTGTTTCTTTGTCTGTGTTTTGCTTGTCCAACGTCCAGGAGTGTAGTCTTACTGATGCAGGTATCTATGCCTTGTATGCTGTTTGCTGCTGGGCCCACCCAAGTCTCACTCAAAGGGGGAACAAACGCTGACATGGCCCCGCAAATAGACTACACAACTCTAGTAAGATTATCAATATTGACAGCACCCAGAGATTTCACTCAAATGCAGCCTCGTCAACACTCTGACGAGATTAAGGAATAAGAAGTTTGCCTTCTGGATGTTTCTCAGCTTTGATTTTTAAAACAACTTGATTAATTTGTTTTGATCAAAGAAAAGAAATCTGTATGTAGATTTTGAAAACTGCAATACTAGTGCAAGTATAACAAGAGATGTAGTGTTTAAAAGACCAGAATATTCAGATCTGACAAGGCTGTAGAATGGTATGCATTTGAGCGAAGTCTTAAGGATGTTGCAAGAAACATTATAGCCTATTTTATGGAATATAAATTGGTCCCCTCCCCCCCACTACAGGAATGTGTGCCTGATCCTACAGATAGTTCTCCCATGTACCTGGTTAAGCAATGGACCAGTCCATATTGTCATGAGGGGTGGTACAGACACTGACATGGCTCCACCTCTTGATCATTACATCATGGTAAGCTACCATGGCAACAGAAAACCCCAGATGGAGATTTAATGTTCTTAATTTAAGCAGAGACATACACATTTTTTTCAGGAAACGAGTTCTTTGGGAGCCAGCCTCGTCATTACCCTCTCCTCTTTCAGAACTATGAAGATAATCTATTCACAATTTCCCGCTACAGTTACCTAAGATTCCAAAATTCTCTCCTCCTTTGTCCCCACCCCAAGGTTTTTTTTTAAATTTGTTGAAAAAAATCATCTGCTATAGTTGTGCGTTCTTATTTGACAGGTTTTCCAGCCAATGGCTGAAAGATTTGGTGTCCAGTTTGAATGTGACGTGAAAAGAAGGTTGGTTGTATATATACATGTACACCTGCCACTCTTTGTAGAAATGTTTATTATCCTAGATATTGTTCTGATTGCCTTTTTGGGCCTTCCATCTTGAAAGTTACAGTGTTTGGTTTTAGATCTTTAGAGAATCTTTCTCATTGGTAAAATCTTGATTATTTGCAGCTGTATGACAAACTTTAAAAGCCTGCTTACAAGAAATTCCAGGATAGTTTGTATCTGGATCTGGGCATTTTCGGAATTTCTTAATTGGCTGTGAACTGAAACATGCCAAAAAGACTTTCTCGTTTAGTTTCCATATCATCGTTGTGTTTTGTGGGTCCACAACACCTGTTGTGCTCATGTTTGAAGAGCAGTTGTAAGTAGCATAATGCAGTATTTTTAAATGTGAAGAAAGTATTTATTTACATTTAATAGGGGCTATTACCCCAAGGGAGGTGGTGAGATACAGGTGCGTACCACCCCTATCCCATGTCTTCAACCTGTTGACATCACTGATGTAGGCCGAGTCACCAAGGTTGAAGGCCGGGCATTTGTAGCAGGAGTCTTGCCTGTCAAGGTAGGCGCAATAGGCCATGTTGTCAAATCGTATTTGTAATTGGAAATGGAAGTGACGATCAAAGAACATGTTGGCAAATTCAAACTCAGATCTTCATTTTCAGTATCAGATCTAAACATTTCTACTGATTATCATGACAAATGCAAAAAAACCACCAAAAATCTTCCTATGTAATTGTCATTTCACTGATGACATTGTTTGTGAAATTTTGGCGCAAAAACTTCATGATTTTCTGTAACCTATTTATTCATGACATCAAATCTGAGAATGTCATTTTTTAATGTGTGTGAAATTTAGGTATAATGCTTATTTTTGTGCCTGTTACAGATTGCTAAAAGTATGGCTGAAACAGCAACTATGATGATACAGAGACAATTTCCTCGTATTCCTGTTCATGTTGAAGTTGTACAGGAGACATCCGCAGTAGGCAATGGATGTGGTATCATGTAAGTACCTGTATGACCTTTCCGAAACTGCTCTCTAAAACTCTCCTTACATTTACAGCAGAAGTGACAGACAAGTTAAGTTTCCAGACCAACTCTGTTCAACCCTCATCTCAATCTGTGCCTTCTGAAACATATTGTATTTTTTAATCGCGGGACCAAGAGCGGGACCAAGAGAGGGCGCAAGTTACCTAGAAACAGAGGCTCCTTTGGTGGGAACTGCATTTGGTTGGTTTACAAACGACTATGAGATACATGCATTGCATACGTGTTGCTACCAGCAAAATGAACACTCCCAACCAGTATGGCTCTTCTGCTCAGGGTGGGTAAAGGTGCCTTAGGATTTAACAATTACCAAGCAAAGGATAACGTTAGACAGCTCCATTCTTTTGTTTTTTTTAATGTAGAGTGGTTGCTGATACAAGCACAGGCTGCAAACTGGCTGGATCGAGTTTGGGAAAGAAAGGTCAGTATTTAAATCACACCATACAGCGAACTGAGACTATTAAGAAATAGTCACGTTTGGAAAAAGTTGCTAATTATAGCATTTATCTTTAAGACGCCACAATGCGACTGACTCACATTTTTGGAGGATGTGGAAGAGCACAGATTGCACTTGATAAATCCTGTTTTGATTTTATAACCTAAACCTAGACCTACATCTGCCAATTAGAGAACGGTGCCTATACATGCGGTATTTTGTAAACTTTTGCTCTTCAATCTTGAAGTACCCTGCAAGTAAGTCTCTTTTGTTGGTACCTGTTTTTCCCTTTCTTGAGGTGTGCCAGCGGAGCAGGTTGGCAAAGATGCTGCTGAGATGCTGTTGAAGAACCTTGATGATGGAGGATGTGTGGATGAGTACTTACAGGACCAGGTGAGGAGGCATCAGGAATTCAGCATTCTATTTAGATTCTTTGTAGAATTTCACAGCCTCTGCACATGCTTTTCAAAAGAGGCATTCCTGAAGTTGCAAGTTCCTGTTCTGTCCAATCCCTCAAATTCACACAAAACTGAGATGCCAATTCCATTTGTACTAAATTCCACACTTGGTGACTTCCTCAAAATGACACAATGATAGGTGCTCGACTTTTGCAAACTCGGGAGGGTTAGCACTTCCGTTTCATTAAAGACATTTCCTCATGTTGTATACATTTTATATTGCCATCTTGAAATGCCATCTTTGAGGATAAGTTGGCAGTGGTGGG